AGGTAGGTTGGATTTGGTGAGAACAACACCTCATCTTCCGCTTGGGGACCCTGCAGCCCTCCAGACTCAATATCGAGTTCAATAATTTTAGGGCCTAAACTCTCCCATGTCCCAGCCCGTACCCACACACCAGGCCTTGTTATCACAGACCCCATTAACAGCTATTCACCCTCCTAGCCAGATTGTTATCAACTCCTTTGTCTATCCAACTGCTCTTCTCTCTCTTCGGGCTCTAACCTACCGTTTCCTTGAGGAAGTGACAAAATTGATAGATGAGGAAAGGGCTGTAGATGTCATCTACATGGACTTCAGTAAGGCGTTTGATAAGGTTCTCCATGGTGGGCTGATGGAGAAAGTGAAGTTGCATGGGGTCCAGGGTGTACTAGCTAGATGGATAGAGAACTGGCTGGGCAACAGGATTCAGAGAGTTGTAGTGGAAGGGGGTTTCTCAAAATGGAGAACTGTGACTAGTGGTGTTCCATAGGGATCCGTGTTGGGACCACTGTTGTTTGTGATATACATAAATGATCTGGAGGAAGGTATAGATGGTCTGATTAGCAAGTTTGCAGATGACACTAAGATTGGTGGAGTAACAGATAGTGAAGGGGACTGTCGGAGAATGCAGCAGAATATAGATAGATTGGAGAGTTGGGCAGAGAAATGGCAGATGGAGTTCAATTCAGGCAAATGCGAGGTGATGCATTTTGGAAGATCCAATTCAAGAGCGAATATACGGTAAATGGAAAAGCCCTGGGGAAAATTGATGCACAGAGAGATCTGGGTGTTCAGGTCCATTGTACCCTGCAGGTGGCAATGCAGGTCGATAGAGTGGTCAGAAGGCATACGGCATGCTTTCATTCATCGGACGGGGTATTGAGTACAAGAGTTGGCAGGTCATGTTACAGTTGTATAGGACTTTGGTTCGACCACATTTGGAATACTGCGTACAGCTCTGGTCGCCACATTACCAAAAGGATGTGGATGCTTTAGAGAGGGTACAGAGGAAGTTCACCAGGATGTTGCCTGGTACAGAGGGTGCTAGCTATGAAGAGAGGTTGAGTAGATTAGGATTATTTACATTAGAAAGACGGAGGTTGAGGGGGGACCTGATTGAGGTCTACAAAGTCATAAGAGGTATAGACAGGGTGGAAGCAAGAAGCTTTTTCCCAGAGTGGGGTCTCAATTACAAGGGGTCACGATTTCAAGGTGAGACGGGAAAAGTTTAAGGGAGATATGTATGGAAAGTTCTTTACGCAGCGGGTGGTGGGTGCCTGGAACACGTTGCCAGCGAGGTGGTAGAGGCGGGCATGATAGCGTCATTTAAGATGTATCTAGACAGATACATGAATAGGCAGGGAGCAGAGGGATAAAGATCGTTGGAAAATAGGTGACAGGTTTAGATAGAGGATCTGGATCAGCGCAGGCTTTGAGGGCCAAAGGGCCTGTTCCTGTGCTGTAATTTTCTTTGTTCTTTGTTCTTTGTTTACTCCCTACCCCATCCCCCTCCTTATTTTCTGCTTATAAACCGACGTTTTCCCAGCTACCATCAGTTCTGAGGAAGTGTCACTGGACCCGAAACATTAACTCTTATCTTTTCGTCACAGATGCTGCCAGATTTGCTGAGCTTTTCCAGCAACTTCTGTTTTTGTTTCTGTTTCTGTTCCTGATTTACAGTATCTGCAGTTCTTTTGATTTTTATATGAGTTATATGAATATGAGTTCCCAGATTCGGGTTGTTAATCTAGTTGAGTCAGGGAGGTCTGACTGATGTAAAAGGATAAATGACAAGGATGCTGGGCTGCCTGAATGTCTGACTCAGTGAGAGGCAGTGCTATTGTCAAATGTTACGCATTTTTAAAGAAAGGGTGATTGGTGTTGGAATGCCGACCTCTGAAAAGTTATTTCAGTGGTGAAGAAATCTGGCAGCAATTGTGAAGAAGTAAGTTGGCTGCAATGTTTTGAAGTTGGGGGTAAGCATTTTCTTACCTCATGCCATTTAGGAAGCTTGACTCATACGACCCTGTCATAGAGGACGGGGTCCAAATATGTGGAAAGAATGTGAGAGAGATAGTAGAAACTACCGATGCTGGAGAATCTGAGAATACAAGGTGTGGAGCTGGATGAGCACAGCAGGCCAAGCAGCATCAGAGAAGCAGGAAAGCTGACGTTTCGGGTCTGGACCCTTCTTCGGAAAAATGAGACTCTTTGTGGAAAGAATGTGTTATTTTTTTCCTGGCAGATAACATTGTGGCAAATTAGAAACAATGAGTAATTCTCCTGACAGCATGTGGAGCTGCAGCTTTTTCTGTCATTAGTTGCCTAACTTTTCCTGAGGCATCAGATATTAAAACATTTTTGGACACAGAGAAATCACTTCATGATAGCAGATGGCATATTGTTATGACGAGCAAGAGTGATTGTGCCAAGCAAAGGTTGCCATGAAATACAGGCTGAACTCCACCATTGTCATCCAGGGGTCTCCAAAATGAAGATGTTGAGGAGGAATTATGTCTGGTGGCTAGGCTTGGAGTCTGATGTAGCTGCATTGGAGGGAGAGTACCCAGAGTGCCAATGAGGACAGAAATTACCACCAGCAGCTTCCCCACATACTTGGGAATGCCTGGATAAACCTTGGACTCTATTGCATGTCGACTATGCAGGTCCTTTCATGGGTTCAATGTTTTTAGCCATTGTGGATATCCACTCAAATTGGTTGAACATGCAAAGAGCCCATTTGTCAAACACATGATAGAAAAATTGCACACATCTTTTGTGACACACACAGAGTCCGAGAGGTATTGGCTACAGATAATGGGCCATCATTTATCAGCAGGCAATTTGGTTATTTCTTAAAATCGAATGGGTTTCAACATATTAGGACAGTTCCATACCATCCATTATCTAATGGCTTGGCAGAAACAGCGGACCACACTTTGAAGGCTGACTGAAGAAACAGCATATAGCCTCACTAGAGACCAAGTTGTCACAGTTCTTGTTTAGTTATAGGACCACCCCATTTGTAACTACAGGGATAGCACCAGCAGAATTGCTAATTGCTAACAGAAGACTGTGCACCAGCTAAGTCTGATCTTCCCAGACATTGTAGCAAAGGTGAACTGGCATCAGGAATTCCAGTGCTGATCTCAAAACGCTGCCAAATGAGAGTGAGAGTTGGATACAGGGAACAATTTTTGGTGCAAGAATCATGGAAATAGCCTTGCATGGATAAGAGGCATGGTCAATGTGAGATTGGGACCAGTGACTTATAAAATTCGGGTTGTTGAGACAGTTCTGAAGAAGCATGTGGATCACTTGAAAGCTGCAAATTTGCAGACTGAGAGGGCGAAACTTGCCCTGACCCTCAGGAATACTTCAGGGACCCATTGATTCACCCTTTCCATCAAACATTGTTGAGTCCTCTGAACCTGAGATGACTTGATGGAATTAGCTGTGCCAATGCTTCTGCCTCCAAAAGAAGGGAGTGAAAGTCTACTGAAAGTCCAGGTGCGAGAAGTGAACTCCTGCTCATTACAGCCTCTGAGTAGGAGGAACCTGACCTGGTGTTAAAACGCTCCAGGAGGCTTTTGAAGGAATCAGATCACCCTGTGTCCATGGACTCGGAGGGGAAGGGATGTAGAGATTGTAATGAGGTCCACCAGCTGGATGTCATAGATATGAGTTACCTGATTAGGGCTGTTAATCTGGCCCAATCAGGGAGGCCTGGCTGACATGTTAGGATGAATGTCAGGGATATGCCTGACTCAATGAGAGGCAGTGCTATTGTCAAAGGCTATGCATTTGTAAATAAAGGGTGATTGGTGAGGGGACGTTGGCCTCATACTCACACTTTCAGCAGCTTTGTGGGTGAAACATTCACGGACTGAAATGCCCAGGAGCATGTTTAAGGTCTCAGAAACTTCTAGGTTAATGAAATTTGAATAGAAACCAAATGGGGGATTTGGGTCATAGAATACATTTCAGCATTCTGCTCAAGGGGTTTATGAAACCATTGCTATATAAAGTGGCACTTGACTGCCAACTTAAACAACATGAGGAATACATAGCAGAATATACTCTTAAAATTTGTTTTCAGTTTACTTATGTTAGCCTTTTATAAGATCTGACTGTTCTATTCCAGAGACATAATTTTCTGGATTTTCATCACTGTGGTAGGTAGTCAGAGTTGGGAAATTTTCCAGAAAGAGCTAGGAGACAGCTGTAGGGGCTGGAGGGTCCTGAGGTGGGTTGTTTGAAAGGTCTGTCTTGATGCTCTGGGGCTTCATCCCAGTTACAATGAAAATAATAAGACCCCTTACTTCTCACCACCAGTATACCCTGGGCATCAACCATGCCACCGCATACCACAAACCCACACCTTATGGCCGTTATACCCTTCTTATCAAGCTAATACTCCTCAATGAGCCCCCATGGCCCCTCATACCTTTCATGTCAATCAATGGCACTTCTATGCCCTATCACCATGTACTCTAGAGAGGACAAATACAGAATCTATGAAAATCCAGCCAATAATGTCCATCATGTTGAAATTTCAATCTAAGCAGTCCTTAGATTACTATGTATATTTTTATTAACTGCCAAAGCGAATACATGTGCAGTCATTCATTCTGTAAGTCACGAGGTCAAAATTCTGGAACTCCCTTCCTAACAGCACCATGAGGTACCTACATCATAGAAACTACAGCTGTTAAAGAAAACAACTCAACAACACCTTTTCCAGGGCCGTTAGGGATGGTCGATAAATGCTGCCAGCAATGCTCACCTTCCAAGATTGGATTAAAAAAACTGAAGCTTGGTTTATGTAATTTATGATTAAAGTATTGCACCATGTTTATTAGTTGTTGCGTTATGTAGTACAGCTTATAAGTGCTCTCATTCAATTTTTTCAATGTTTCTTTTTCAATCTAGGAAGAAAATTTGTTATATTTGACATTTTTAATAACCTCATCAAAGTTCATTATCAATCCATTTATCTTTGTTAGGCATACTTGGTGCAGTGGCCCTGGATTTTTTTAATAGTGAAATCACGATGGATATTGTGAATCAGATGGAAGAGGAAGAACGAACGGGTAAAAAGGAACATGTTGTTTTTCTGGTAACTCAGAAACCAGCATATTCACATAAACGACGCAGCAGGTTATCTGCGAAGCCACAGTATCTGTCTGATAGGTGCAAACAAAGTGAAAAACAGTTAAATAAACTGGTATGTTGCAAAATTTAAAACATTTTCTTGCTATTATTGTAATAGATAAAAAGAAGTGATGAGTTCAAATGCTGTAAATTTAGCCCCTCCACTTCCACATATATCTGATGCCGGTTGGCAATGTCGTCCACATGGGGCAAGCTCTGTGTACACCCAGCTGTATCTCTCCAGTGCCTTTCTTGACTCCCTCCCTGTCTTTGTGCTGTTGGACTGCTTATATGACATCTAGGCTTGAATGAACCAGAATTCCATCCAACTGAGAACAAAACATTTACCCCCACCACAAATGGGCGGCACAGTGGCTCAGTGGTTAGCACTGCTGCCTCACAGCACCAGGGACTCAGGTTCAATTCCACCCTTGGGCAACTGTCCATGCAGAGTTTGCACATTCTCCCCGTGTCTGTGTGGGTGTCCTCTGGGTGCTCTGGTTTCATCCCACAGTCTAAAGATATGCAGGTTAGGTGGATTGGCCATGCTAAATTGCTCATAGTATCCAAGAATGAACAGTCTAGGTGTGTTAACTGTAGAAAATATAGGGTAGATGGGTTGGTGTGGACTTCTTGGGCTAACTGGCCTGTTACCACACCATAGGGACTCTGTTTACTCTCTCTATCTAACTCCACACATTTGTAATTAGTTTGATGCCCCTTGTTCTCTAATGCTTTAGGCTGAACCAGACTGCTAACAAAGCCATTTGGTCTTGAGTGAATTTTCAACCCATAACTCCTCAAGTACGAGGAAGATGTACTTGCACTTCAGGAGTGTGGTCTGCTTTTACCTCTATTTCTCCTGCTGACACCTTAATTTGTAAGTTTGTAGTCCTAAAGTTCAACTATTTCAATGCTTTCGATACTTCACGCTATTCTGATTCAGAATTACACTCCCAACACCCCCCATCCAATTCTGTCAATAATTCTATTTTCTTACCAACCTACGTGGATTCTCAATTCCTCAATGGTTCAGTTTAAAACTATCATCATTTTCATCATCACGACTTCCATTTCTCAAATCTTATCTAGCCCTACAATGCCATTTCTGAACTTACTAGTCCTGTCACTCAGCTGTCTTTTGTATCTGTGCCACTAACTTACCCACCTTCCCACCACTTTCCCCCCCACCCTCCCTCACCTTAACATGACCAATTACAGCCACACATCAGACTATCTAGGCTCAAAGCTCTAGAATTTGCTCCCCAAATGTATCCGCCCCTCTGATCCCCTTTTCCTGTTTAAAGCTGTAATTAAAATCTATCTATTTAAGCAAGGGTTTACCCCCTGCTGCAAGTAAAGCCTCCATTTACTCACCATCTATTTTTCTCTGTGTTTCTATGAATTAACTGTCCCTTGTCATTGTGTAGAATTGACATTGGAGAATCCTCCCCTTTCAGTAACATGCCGGTTACAATTAACCAGAAACAGAACTGGATTAGCCATATAAATACTGTGTCTAGAAGAGCAGTTCAGAGGCTATGAACCCTGGAGTAAATAACTCACCTGACTCCCCAATGTCTGCTCACCAGCTACATGTCAGGAGTGTGGTGGGAAGTAATACATGTTCAAATGCAACAACATCTGGACAATATCCAGGCTTGGGCTGACAAATGGCAAGTAACAATCACACTACACAAGGCAATGACTATATCTAATCAGATACAATCTAACCATTTCCCCTTGACATTCAATGGTGTTACCATCACTGAATTCCCTCAATATCAGCATTCCATGTTTTACTATTGAACAGAAACCCAACTGGACTCGCCATATAAGTGCAATGGCTAAAACAGCAGGTCAGAGGTTAGGAATACAATGGTGTAACTCACCTTCTGACTCCCCAGAGCCTGTCCATCATCTACATGTCACAAGTCAGGAGCATTGTGGAATACTCCCTGCTTTCCTGAATGGGAGCAACTCCAGCAAAAAAGCAGCCAGTTGACTGGCACCACATCCACTCCTTCCACCGCCGATGCTCAGTAGCAGCAGTGTGTACTATATACGAGATGCAGTGCAGAAATTCACCAAAGATCCTCAGACAACATCTTCCAAACCCAAGACTACTTCCATTGAAAAGGACAGGGCAGCAATTACATGGGATTGCCACCACCCGCAAGTTCCCCTTCAAGCCACTCACCATCCTTACTTGGAAATATATCACCATTTCTTCACTGTCTCTGGGTAAAAAAAAGTCATGGGATTCCCTCTCTAAGGGCATTCTAGGACTACCTATAGCATGTAGACTGCAGTGGTTCAAGAAGATAGCTCATCGCCACCTTCTCAAAGGCAACGAGGAACGGGCAATAAATGCTGGTCAACCATCAAAGCCCATATCCCATGAGTGAATAAAACAACCCACAATCACTATTGTCTAAAGATCAAGGGCAACAGATGCATGGGAATACCACCAATGCCAATTATCCCTTAAAACCAGTAACCATCCTGACTTGGAAATATATCGCCATTCCTTCAGTGTTGCTGTCTGAGAACTCCCTCCATAGTGGTATTGTGGGTCTGCCTCCACTATATGACTTTAGCTGTTAAAGGCTGCTCACTATCACCTTCCCAAGTGCATTTTGGGATAGGCAATGAATGCTGTCCAAACCTCAATGCTGACATCCCAGGATTGAATAAGAAAGTTACATTTATATTTATTTTTACATTGTCAGTATTGTATAAATGTAAAACGTGTTGGTCTCCATATGATACCATTTAACATTATAAATACAGGATAGGTCAATATGCATAGGTGGGCAAAGTCTAAATATTTTAATTGGACATTCCCCAAAATCCTGTGTTTCAGGACTTGGAAAGAGCAATGGCCAAGATTAGAAGCAAAGCCTCTGGATCCCCTGTCAGGAAAAACCACTGGGAAACAGTTCGTGGGATTGTCAAATTGGGAAAAGGTAACCAGTGGGACATCTCCAAAATTGGCTCAGCTCATATAAAATCACAAGATGACTCAAACCTTTACCTTGTGTCACTCACTGTTTTCTGTGTCAAAAAGCTTTTTTGCAAAGTATGAGCCCATGAGATAGAGTGACAACTCCTATTTAGATGGAAATCAAGTCCCTCTTAGTACCAAGCAGACAGCTTTCTGGCTAATAATTTTATAAAGTGCCTAAATGGCTTAGGTAATTTTGTATCCCTGTAATTTTAAATTTAAATGTCTGCTCATTGCGTCTTACATCAGTCATGAATATAAAGTTATGGAATTTATGTTATATTTTGTTTGTTTTGATAGGCAAGTTATTAAGGGGCTTTGAGCCAGTCTATCCAGAGAGATTGTGGGTTGATGTAAAAACATTTTGCAATTCTTTTCCTTTTCACATTGTCTTCAATGAAGAGGTGAGTCTCCTGTCCCTTTGCTCTTTGAAAAGTGCTGTTGATATACCAAGGCCTGTGTAAATGATGATTGGAATGTATTTTTCACTCAGTTTTTGCTTTTCTGTCCCAAAGCCATGAATTCTTGCTTGGATAGGTCCCATATGTGTTGTGAACCATCCTATAACTTGCCTAAGTATCTATTATACATATCCAAGGCTCGTTAGCAAATGTTGACACCTATTTGCCTGCCACAGCAGAACTCAAAACTTTACTCAAGTGCAAGTCACTGGACAACAATTGAGAGCAAAAGAGAATAAAGACAGGGAAAATACACTACAAGGGCAAACTAATGAGGACTATAAAAACTCTCAATAAGAGTTTCTTTAAATATATACAAAGAAAGAGGTCAAAGTGAACATTGGCCCCTTAGAAAATGAATCAGGGGAGATTTTTTTTGGGATCAAGGAAATGGCAGAGGCGTTAACCAGATATTTTACATCAGTCTTTACAGTGAACATTCCATTAATACTAAAGAATGCAGAGGCGAAATTAAGTACCATCACCATCATGAGAGAAATAGTATTAGACAAACTAATAGGGCCAAAGGCAGGTAAGTCCCCTGGCCCTGATTGCTTGCATCCTAGGATCCTAAAAGAAGTAGCTACAGAGATGGTGGATGCATTGGTTGTAATTTTCCAAAAATCATGAGATTCTGGAGAAGTACTAGAGGGTTGAAAAGCTGCTAACGTGATAACTCCATTCAAAAAGGGAGGGAGGTAAAAAGCAGCTAACTATAGGCTGATTAGCCTAGCATCTATTGTTGGAAAAGTATTGGAATCAGTTATTAAGGAAGTAATAGCAGAACATTTGAAACATCAAAATCTAATCAAGCAACGTCAAAGAGCTGGTGTGTGTGTGCCTCTCCAGCAAATCCGGAGGGTGCTGGGCCTGGCTCAGTGTGGCAGCTACCAATCCGTCCATGGAGGCAGCCAGGCAGTTGCATGACTCATTGCAGCTTCTGGGCAAGGAGGGCTGTGGTGTTCTGTATTGTCTGTCTGCTGCTGTTGCTCCTCCCTGTGCATGTGAACAAAAACCCTGATTGCTGACCCTGCAGGGTCCTCTTCTGCCTGGGGCTGAGCCAGTGCCTGGTCTCTGGCAGTCCTTCCTGTGTCAGTGGCTTGGGACATTTCTGCTCACCAGATTGTGTCCCATCCAGCTTTATCATGCCGGTTCACACCAAGGTGTCAATATCGGGGCAGGGAGTAGCTTTGTCGATACTTCCTTTGCGGCCTATGTACACTTGTCTTCAGAGGTCAACTTTGGTGGAGGCAGCATTTCTCCTCAGAGGTCGAGAGCAGACTTTAAGAACTTGCAAGTTAAGAGAGGGAGATGGTGTCAGGGCCAGAGGTTAGAACTGGCATCCAATAACTGAGAGTGACAGCGGGTTTAATGGGAGAGTGGCAGTGGTATGCAGAATGGTACTTCCTTGTTTGGCAGGACACGGAGGTTTCTACTTCCCTGCAGGAGTGGTCTTCATCTTCTCCTGCAAAAGCCAAAATTCTCTCCTCATAGGGGATGACGAGTCTGATATCAGACACACATCTACCTATACAGACACTCTTCACCCTGTTAAGGGCTGTTCGCTCCTGTAATGAGTAAAAGGTGTTGAATGACTGAGATTACAGACAGAGGCATGGCTGTTAGCACAAGTGCGTTTAGGGGAATTGTAGTGAGGTGTTCCTAGGGACTGAGGAGACAGATCAGAGGGCATGTGGGTTTAGTGTTTTGCGAAGGTAAATGGGGAGAGCAAGCGATGGAAGATGTTGCAGTGGATAGTGAGAATGGCACAGCAAGAGTCGTGATTGGATGTAGATACAGTGGCAGTTATACAGTGTGAAATGACAGAGAAAGGAGTAACCCTGCAGAGTGGAGAAGTCACTGAGCTTTTTATGGCACCACTAGTCATTCCCCCACAGCTTGTTGATGGCAGTGACCCAGACCAGGTCAGCAGGGTCTGGTGGTGCAGCCTCCTCTGCTGGTCCTCCAACAAGAGGATGACTCACCCCTGCGCCATGCTGACCTGCTCAATCATGTTCTGTATTTCTAAATGCTCTTCTATTATTTCCTTCATAAGAGACTCTAACATTTTCCCAGTAACAAATATTTTCTGGCCTATAGTTACTTGATTGTTTTGCCTCCTTCCCTTTTCAAATAAAGATGAGATATTTGGATATGTATGCTATTTAAATGGATTTCCAGAAGACACCTGATAAAATCCCTCCTAAGAGAGCATGAGCTAAGGTCGAAACCATGGAATTGAAGATGAAGTTTGGAAATGGACAACATGGCAAGAGACTGAGAGTAGGGTTAGTGTTTAGGTATGCTAATTGGCATGGGGTGTCCTACAATTGAGGCCTCACTTATTCACTGTATTTGTTAACAACTTGAATGATGTACTAGAAAAATCACAAAGATGACAAGAAGATAGGGAGCATTGTTGTAGATGGTAGCATAAAATTACAAAGAGATATTAATAGATTAAATTATTGAATAAAACTGTGGCAAATGGATTTAAATACAGGCAAATTTAGGTACATTCACTACAGAGAACAGGGTATCTCCTAAATAGTGAAAAAAAACTATAAAAGGAGGTCTAAACAGACTCAGGGGTCCAGGTAAATGGATCATTGAAATGAAGGTAGTCAAAGAGATTAATAGTATACTGGTCTTTAAATCTGGAGGATGAGAATAGAATGGAAAAGAAGAAAATTTCAGCTATGCAAGGCCCTGGTTAGATTACACCTAAGGGCATTTGTGCCTACCACACCTCAGGAAGAAATTATTGGCCTCAGAGATGGTACTGCATAAGTTTCACAGAAAAATACCTTAACTCTAAAGGTTAAACTTGAAGGCATGACTACACAAACAGTGGTTTTATTTCCTGGAATTTAGAAGGGCCAATGATGATTTGATCAAGATCTTAAGATATCAGGTCGATAGGGAGAAACTATTTGGCTGGCTATAGAGCCTAAGACAAGAGGCCTTAGTCTAAAAATTAGACCAGACCTTGAAGAATTGAAAGTAAGAAATACTTCTAACATGCAAAGGTTGAGAAAAGTTTGAAACTCTGTCTTGCAATTGGCAATTAATGTTAACACGTTGTCAACCTTTAGCTTCTTAACCCATCTGTGGCTCCCAACCTTTATTGGCTAGTTCCCATTTTCATGAAAAGTGAATAGAAATATTAAATTGAGGAAATGTCAACTAGAAAGTAACACAGCTTTCCTATGGAAATCAAATCACAATAAATTTCATGGTTTCAAATGATTTTCTTAATAAAAAATGCCATCATGCTTGACATATCTCATTCAGGTCAGATATCTGCACTCATAAATCCTCGATTTTCCAGGGTCAGGTTTTATGGTTGTGGCCTTAAGGGTTCTGATAAAACAGAAAATAATAAATTATTCTGAATGCTATTGTAAGCTGTTTTTACGTATCAGCATCAATGTGTTTGAATTTTATCTTTGTTCTGAAGATTTTAAGCATAAATTCTGTTTAAAAGATGACTTTACTGAGAAATTTAAGGCTAACATTTCTCATACATAACAAAAATGACTATAAAAACACAAAGACAAGGATTTTTTCTCAGTTTTGTAAGTACATTTCTTATTGATGTTTCATTCCAAGTAAAAAGTCAATGCTTTGCTAATGTTAGTCTTTTGTTTTCTGGCTCCAAGCAATTTATATTTTAAGCTCAGATAACAACATTTTCTGAAGAAGGGTCTCGACCCAAAATTCACCTTTCCTGTTCCTCTGATGCTGCCTGGCCTGCTGTGTTCCTCCAGCTCCACATTTTGTTATCTCTGACTCCAGCATCTGCAGTTCTTGCTATCTCTTATATTTTAGGCTAATTTCTTAAAAAATAATAGGCTTTTCAGGTAAAAAGATTGCTGATCCACACGCTAGATCAATTACAAGTTTTGAGTTTAATCAACTTTTACTAGCCACAGATTTTATAGGACACGAGACAAAGGATGGGTAGACATAATTTGGTTTTAGTTTAATCATAATCTCATTGAATGTAATTGATCTAGCATGTGGGTCAGCAACGTTTTTATCTGAAAAGCCTATTATTTTTAAGAAATTAGCCTAAAATATAAGAGATAGCAAGAACTGCATTGAATGATTGTTGGAGGGGCTAAATGATCTACTTCTTTCCCGAATTCCTATAATCCAGCCTTTCATGGAAAAATGAAATCAATATTTCAAACTTTCTTACCCTATAAAAAGACGTTTAATTCACCTGCTTCATCTGTGTTCTCCCACCCATCATTATGCTCAAATGGTGTTGTGTGCTTTCCAAATTTGATACTTTTGATGATTTTGAATTACAAAGTTGTATTTTGCATACATTGAAATAATGGATACAATGCCATAAAAAAACAATTGTCAGGTAACTGGATTAATTAGTTTAATTGTTGCCATTGTATTTTTGTAAGATTTCACAAACAATTAAGTCCTTAAATTGTAACAAGAAATTTTCATTGAAGGAGAATTTAAATCTTAAGAAGCACTCTGGACAATCAGTTGAGTTTCATAACAGTATAAAGAGTCCAAATCTCGGTCCAAGTTTTGGGTTGACGCTAAATGAATCAGAAGCCACCACATTCTAAAATTAAATATGCAGTGTAAGGGCCCATCAGAAATTAATGCTGTATCTGGTTTGAAAACTGATAAAAGACTTTTGAAAAAGTAGCAATTATCAATTCCATGTAACTGAACAAAAGCAGATGTCTTATCTTTCAATTTTATGCCTTGCAAGTGAATGATTCAATTTATTTATTCTGAAAATGTTGATTAGTAAAATGTTTTATGCTAAACACTTGTGTTGGACTTTTAAGCTTAGGGTAAAACAAGCAGGGATAAATATACAGAAGCTGGTCCCAGGACTTCAAACAATGGACATCCGACTTGATGAATACTTCAACATTGTTCACCCGGAAGTAACATTCAAAATATCAAGTGTGCGGAAATTTATTAATAGCTTATTTGTGTTAAGAACAAAACGGGAAATGATGCCAGAATCATGGAAGCATCGTCCAATGTTGGAACTAAGAGGTGTGTTTAAAAAAGCGAGACAACTTCTAAATTTTTTTTAATATATGTATATGTATAATATATATCTATCTAAAGTCAAAATGATTCCTTGTCATCGTTATTTCTTCCACTAACTGGCTTTATGGGATGTCCCTTGATCAATTCCATTCTTCCCTACTCAAATGCAGTCAGTGCTCCTTTATAAGTTACTCTATCCCATGAAGTCTCAAGAAAATCAGCAGCAGAATGTTCTTGATGTTACACTATAAAAATGTTTTGAATAATTAACAGTAACAGTTTTATGATTTTATTTTGTTCAAATTGTGCTAATGACCTCATCAGAGTAATGACTTTAAGGAGCTAATGAAGACCTAACAATGAGAACAAATCTAATTGCTATTCAAAGAATTAGTTAAAAATCCATAGCTGATTGAGCACACAATATGTGGCCTGCCATATTGAGCTCCGTACCCTTCTACGTGTCTCTTTAATATGACTTAACAAAAACATTTCAAAAACCAACTAAACAGAAAGAAGAAAGGAAAAGCAACACTTACCATACTTTTGAGCAACAGCATTTTTTTGAAAGCCCACTAACTTGAATTCAAAAATAAGAAATACTCCTGAAAAGTCAATGCATTGTATTTCTAAATCAAAAGTGGAAAATAATATCAGTTCTTTCTTCATCTTTGAGTTGCAACTTCCACAAACAACACCAAGAAGACCAAAGTCCTCTTGTCAGAAATTCCTACCTCATCCATGGTCTCGGTCTATCCCAGATAGCCTATAATCTCTGCACCCTCTTCAACCTTCAATTTAGATTTGAACTTCACATCTTAATCATTATCAAGATCACCTCAACAACATTACCTGCCTCCGTCCTTAGCTCAGCCTTCCGCTACAAAAATCTGAAACCCTTAAGCTTTTGTGAATCAAATATTGTTGCATTCTCCTTATTGATTCTCCATTCAACACATTCCAACTTTTCCCAAATATATATTATTTCAAACATATCCTGCCCCGGCCCCAATTCCATCCGACCATCTCCCTGCTCCTGCTGGCCATATGGCCTCCTGATGTATGTTTTAAATTCAAATTCCTTGCTCATAAATCCACCCATGAACTTCCTAAGAGCATTAGGCCAGTCAAAAGGACTGTAGAAGAGGAGTTAATGGAATACATAAGGGCGATTAATTGGATAATTTCACATTTTCCCAAATTATACTCAATTTGCCAGATTTTGTCCTCTGGCTTAACCAATGTATATCCCTTTATAGCCTCTTTTGCCCTCTTTACAACTCACTTCCTCCTGCCTATCCCTATGTTACCAGCAAATTTAGCAACTAAACCTATGGTCACTTAATCCAAAAGTCAATTGTAACAAGAAAAGGCCCCAGCACCGATCCCTGTCTCACATCTCTCATTACATATTGTCAACCAGAAAATGACCCATTAATACCTACTCATTTTTCTTTTCTATTTCTTCTTTTCTTTCTTCCTTCCTCAACCTTTTCTTGATTTTTGTTTCTGAGCTATACCATATTTCCTTTGTGGCACAAGCTGTTGTCTCACAGTGGTAAGGCACAGCAGGATTTCACAGCCCATGACAAATATGGACACGTTGTCTGAGAAGCCTTCAGGCAGCAGAACTGTTTCCTGAGCATCCCAGTAGTCTGTTCTATCATGTCTTGTGTAGTGGTACAGCTGTTGTTGAATGGTTGTGGAGTAATGAACTATCTGTTACACAGGTAGCACTTATCATCTAAACTCCTCTGTCTGGTCTGATGTGGTGGGTCCAATGCTGAGGAAATAGCATACTGGTGCAGAATAAAAACATTATGTTTGTTGCACAGGATTGTGAGCATTCAGTAGCATGATGTGCTGTATGGAGCGCACACCAACCATACATTCAGGGAGTTGTGTCCTTTTGCAGCTGTAGAAACATCTCATGCAAAGTCACAGTTGCACATTTTCTGGGACCCTGCACCACAGGGAAACCAGGTGTATATCTCACTTCCTTAGGCAGAGGGAATTCAATGACATGCCTCATGTGGCATAAGGAAGACTCCTTATGCAGCAAGGGATGAGAAGTTTACAGACATTAGAGTTTTCACCTGTTCCAGCCTGGAAAAACCCAATGCAAAACATCATGGCCATAGTAACCTTTCCAGCCCTAGGGAATGCTATTCTTGCCTTCCGCTGTGGCTGAAAATCTGCATGGCAGAGGAAGCAGATTTCTAGGAGCATCCCTTCCTTCAAACTGAACTGATGCACATACTGTTCCTGGAAGGTATTGGGTGGATAAAGATTCCTTCTCCACCGTCTCCCTCTTCTGAGCTGTCTCTGCTCAAACACCCTCTGGAACTTTAGGCCAAGGTGAGGTGGGGCTGGGGATAATTGTAGCACTGATGACTGGGAGCAAGTTACATGACTGGAAGTCTTAAAGTCACAATCAATCCCTGTGCAGCACTATTTCCTGTCAAATCACCAACTTTAAACAACTCTGGATAGAATTTAATGAGCATCTTACTGGAGAGCAGTTGATGATTCCTTTTAATAACACTGGTTGGGGGCTAGGTACTGTGGGCAAGTTCTTCTTGCTGTTGCAACTATCTTTGGTTGCGTGAGTTTAACAGGAGGCATTAACTGGAGTAGCATAGTTGGAAATAATGGCAGTGATGTTTAATCAGAATTGCTGTCTGCACAATCTACTCTGTTTACATCCATGTGTATTCTTAATAGACCATGCTATAGGTATGTGTGCAGCCGTGGCTGCCATTTTACTCTTGACTGACATAAGAAGAACAACTCAGGCAAAGGCAGGAAAATTGAACAGGGAAATATACCACTGAATTTCTGGTCATTTTCTGACCAAGTAATGATTTTCCAATCTCACTTCTGATGAACTTGCTGCCTCACAAAGGGTGGCCAGAACCAAATAAAGTGGTAATGGTACAGTCACATCAAAAGTCACATTTTCTGCCATTACTGTCATAGATAAACTAGTGCTAGTAAAATTTAATGACAGATTCTCAGCACAGGAGTCACTTACTGGATGAATAATGGTACGCTTGATTTAGCAGAGGCTAGAAATTATTTTCAGTCAATTCAGAATTTTTCATTGTCACCCAAAGCCTTTGTGGCTATAATTGCTTAATTCGGGTTCTGCATCTATTTGCACTTACTAAAAAGAGGAAGATCTCAACAATTTCTAAGGGTATGAGATGCAGTCAAAGTTAAAATACTGATGACTTTGGTAGAAATATACAGAAGATTATGGTAAGGAATGTTGTGACAGTTATCAAAATGTTATTGTTGCAGTGGAATGTAATATGTGCTTCTCACATTGACATTAACCATCATCCTTCTCCAGGTCAAATGGTGTGGATGGAATATTTACAATGCATGTTGTATCTGTGCTCCCCTCTGCTGCGTAGTTTACATGAGCTGGAAGAGAGGTGCATGCACATTTCTGATATCGCCTCTCACGATGTGACCAGGGACCTCATTCTTCTGAATCAGCAGAGACTTGCTGAGATGGAATTATCTAATCAGCTTGAAAGAAAGAAAGAAGAACTAAGAATTCTGTCCAAACATTTAGAGGAAGAAAAGAAGAAAACAGAAGCATTGCTGTATGCAATGCTACCAAAGCATGTGGCGAACCAGCTCAAAGAAGGCAAAAAAGTTGAGGCAGGTGAATGAACTTGAACTAATTTAATAATTAATTGAATATTATATTAACATATTGATTATGGAGGACTGACTCATTGTCAAAGTTGAAGCTCAAAAATGATGATTAGATACTTGAAAAATGATAACTGTTATGGTATGATAACATATTTTCATTCTTTGGAAGGAATAATATCTTTACTTGAGAATTTGCTGCCCAGTATAACCAATGTTCATCCACTGAAGCTTAACTACATTGCAATTTCAGTACTGTTCCTCAGTAATAGCTCTTTCACACTTCCCGACGATGGAAATAAAACACTTCGGTAGTCACTCAATTTTGAAAATTTGATAGATACTGACTTCTGCAAACCCTATGTACATTCTGATGCATGTTTTTGATGTTGTTGCAATGTGGCAAATGTGGGATAATGACACATTCAATAAAACATAGAAATCAGAAATGGTATTTTATAATATGCTTAAGAATGATGGGCAGTTAAAAAATTTTCCTCAATTTAAACATTTTCTTACTTTTCTAATTAAGTACTAGACAGGATCTTCCTTTACAGGGAGCACCTCATTCACAATGCAATCTGTAACCTGTGTGGACATCACAAGTTCAAATCCTGAGATTTGCATGTCTTAATCTGCAGTTTGAAGTAATCTGAAATTGCTGTGTATTTACATTTTGCATTTAGAGGGTGGAACAGAAAACACTGCACAACAATATCAAAAGTGTTATTTAAATGCTATAAACATCAGTGTGGGTGTTTTATATGTTCCTCTGTCCTCAGTAATTTTCTGTTTAAGGAAAGACACACTTGCAGTCCAATGAAGGTTAACTAAATTGGTTCCAGGGTTGAGAGTATTGTCCAATGATTAGAAGTGAAGTAAATTGAACCAATACTCTGTAAAGTTGAAATGAATAAGAGGTGATCTAATCAAAGCAATCAAAATTCCAAAGGGGTTTGACAAGGTAGAGACTGAGCTGTTGCTTGCCCTAGCTGGGGAATTTATAGTATCAGTCACTGTCTCAGGATCACTTAGGGCTGAGATGAGGAAAAACTTCTTCAAAAGGGCTGTAATTCTTTGGAATTCTGTACACTAGAAGGTGTTGATACTCCATGTAGAATATATCTAAAGCTGAGATAGACAGATGTTTTGAACTCTCAGGGAAGTGAGGGACATGGGAAGTAGGTAAGAGCAGGTTTGACAGAACAACATCATCTACTTCTGCTCCTACTCCCATTTCTTTTGTTCTTCATAGTGAAGGACAATAAAGTGAAAGTGCAGAATATTTTCTTCTTGGCTGTGTGGTCAGGTTTGGGAAAGTCACCCCATGAGCAACAATGGGAGGCAACTCTCTAGTACCAAAAATAACAAGACATTATCTCATACATGATGGTCCTTTCTCTTTACATGTGTTCACTGATCTCTGTGTTATACTGGACTTGAAGCATTAATTCTGCTGTTCTCTCTTCGCAGATGCTGCCAGACCTGCTGAGTTTCTCTAGCATTCTCTGCATTTGTTTCAGATTTTTAGCATCCGCAGTATTTTGCTTTTATATATGTGTATTTTCAGTTGTTTTTGATTTTATTTTAATCATCCTGAATTTATATTAACTATTTTCATTTTTTCAAAATGATATCCCAGTTGTGAATTCTCCTCACAGCTGTACATTCTCTTTCACTTTAAATGTTTATTATTTCCCTCAAAGATATTTCTTGTTGCAGTGTTCATGTTACAAAGACAGATGTTTGAATTTCTAAATAGAATTGTTGCTCACTACCTAAAGTCTGCTGATTTTTGAACACCCCTAGAAATGGATAGCTAGTGTCCTGTCCAGAGCAAGCATGAATCTTGGTAAATTATTTAAATTGAGGACCCCTGTTTAATTATCATTAGGTGGAATATGTGATATCTGTCAAAATGTAACATGTATTGTTAGTCCACTAGTGCGAATTAAGAGTTAAATTTGCCCTTATTGAGTGGTGACACCTTTCCAGTTGAACTAAAATAAGGCTTGGCTATGAAAATGATTCAAAACCCTCACTGATAATCATTTTGTTCACTGCTCCTTAGATCTCAACTGATCCTCATAATGTTCTCTGCTTCAACCGTGCCCATGGCAAAATATTCTTTGAGTAAATGACTGTGCTTTAAAAAAACCTGTTCCAAATCATTTTAAATAACCATTATAAAATTTGTAAATTTTCACTTTGCCACCTAAATAGAACAGTTAAACTGACAGGTTTCAATAGATCAATAATATTAACAATGATTCTTGCAAGTTAGTTAAATCATGAGTGAAATTAATTTTTCTGCTATAGGTGAATTTAAGGAGTGTACCATACTGTTCAGTGATGTTGTGACATTTACAAGTATCTGTGCGCAGTGTGAACCAATTCAAATAGTGGTTATGCTCAACACCATGTACTTGAAGTTTGACAGACTAACCACAGTCCATGATGTCTATAAGGTAACAATTTTCTTCATTGAATAGATTTTTAAGAATTTATATAACTACAAGATGAATGCAGTATAGTAAAAAAGGAATGTTTGCCACAAAACAAAAAGTTGAGGCTAATTAACATTAACAAAATAGCAATAATTTAGCTTAACATAATTCCATGTCTCTGAAAATTCAATATTTTACTGATTTACCTTTATTACCAATTGTAAAGGTGGAGACAATAGGAGATGCCTACATGGTGGTTGGAGGAGTCCCTGTGCCAGTTTCTACACATGCTGAGCGAGTAGCAAATTTTAGCTTGGGAATGATCATAGCAGCTAAAGGTGTAACAAATCCTGTGACAGGATCACCTATCCAGGTATAATATTATTTTTAGTATCATATCAAAAATTACAGTTTGTTTATTGATTCATGCAAATTGAATCGTGCAAAGAAATAAATTCCAGAAATGTATTTTGTGTTTTGAATAATTACATTAGTTATGAGAATGCAGTGGCCTCTATTTCTTCTTTATACAGATAAGAGTTGGAGTAACCACCGGCCCAGTTCTGGCTGGAGTAGTTGGTGAAAAGATGCCTCGATATTGCCTTTTTGGAGATACAGTCAACACAGCTTCAAGAATGGAAAGCCACGGTGTACCAAACAAGATCCACCTCAGTCCTAGCGCTTTCCGGTAAACAATTCAGTTTGTTGTTTTGTTAGCAGAACCACAATGTTATGTGTATTGAAAAATTGCAACAGTTTTAAGAGCAGCCAGTTGAAAGACTTATTTTCCCCAGAAAATTTTCACATAGGCTGTTTATTTATTTCTTGCTACGTGATAAATTGAGATTTATACCTCACTTATTTTCAATTTCAGAGCACTTAAGGATAAAAACTTTGAAATACATGAAAGGGGTGAAATTGAAGTTAAAGGGAAAGGGAAGATGTGCACTTACTTCCTCATTAGAAATCTGGTTGCATCAGAAAACGAAATCCTGGGCAGGCCATTAAGGGAGTCTGATTCTGGCCGAGAATCTCTGCTGTCCCTACCTGAATCAAAGGCAGAATATGTCAACCAAAAAGGTAAAACTTTAACACAAAAGCCCACAAATGATGAAATGCAAGCTAAATGTTCTGATGCGTGTGGAGGACTGAAGCAGCAAATCTTCAATTCTCCAAGAAAAATACAGCCTTTTCAAAAGATATGGTGATGATGAAAGAAGTCAGTTCTGGATTTAATTTTGAATTTATTTTCATAATCACAAATTTATAAGTGTAAATCCAGGTCAAAATGATTTTTGGTGTTGCAAACAAGGAGTTCAGATTAAGTTTAGTCTTCAGGCAAAATAAAGTCTGAGGGCTATTCGGAGCAGGATTGCAATTTAGTACCCATTTAATTTGACTTCATAGCATACTTTACAGCTAAGAACAGAATACAGCTGTTGCACTGCAAAGAAACCATATTTGAGTATAGCAATTTATCTGCAGTGCTGGCAGAGGGCGTAAGAAGCTGGTTCTGAAACTTGCTTTGTTGAAGGATCTCACTTATATACTACAATACTATGTAATATTCATATTATGAAAGTACTGCATATAAGGAAGGTTTTAAAAATGTTTATGGGAAAACAATGTGAATGCTTACTTACATGTAGTATTGAGTTGTGCGTATCTATTTTTCACTGTGTGATGTCCATCCGTCATCTGATGTTTGACAGTGACAATTGTAAATCATTCAATATAAAAGCCAACATCACTTATCTTTTGGAGAAGAGTGAATGGAATTAAAGTATGTAGTCATCCAAATGACTCCTCAGACGCATTTCCAGGGGCATCCAGATCTTTTTAATAAGTCAGGACAGTTTGTGACTTGGAGTGCAACTTGCAGGTGGTGTTCCTATAAGTCCGTTGCCCTTGATCTGATAGGTGATACGGGCAACAGACTTGGAAGCTGCTGTATATTGAAGACATTATTTAAGATGGTGAATGGAGTGTTGATCAAGTATTCTGCTTTGTCCTGGATAGTGTGTAGCTTCCAAAGTATTTTAGAAGCTTTCATCATCCAGATAAGTGAAGAGTATTCCATCACGCTCTTGACTTGTACCTAATAGGTGTTGGATGGGCTTTGGGAAGTCAGAAGATGAGTTACTATTGATAGAATTCCTAACCTTACAGCTACTATTGTAGCCACAATATTTATGTGACTGGTCCAGTTAATTTTCTTATCAATGATTGTATGTTATGTTACACACTCAGCTACACTCATGGTACCATCACTGCATCATAGAATGTGACCTGAGAGTGTAAATATCTCATACTCCATTTACCTCAGTTCATGTAAAGCATGACATTCTCGTGGAAGAATGCTTCTCTGTTACGACACTTTGGTTTAATATTAGCCCAACAGCATACAAACCTGAGGAATATAATGTCTGTAAATAATATTAGTTCTAATGGCTTCCTGCACGATTCCTCAATACAGCAATATTCACTCTCAGTTTTTTATATTCTGGGACATAACATGCAAACAGAAAACAAGCAACAAACAGAAAGTGGTGGAGAAACTCAACACGTCTGAAATCATAAGTGAAGAGTGAAGTAGATTTAATGTTTCAAGTATGGTATGACTCTTCTTCAGAAATGTTAATTCCGCTTTTGTGTTGCTTAAAATTTCCAGCATCTATAGCATTTTGTTTCTATATAAGCATCGCCACATCTGGGAAAACACCCTATTGGAGACAAGCTCACACCATGGTAGCAGCAGTGACCACCTGCTAAAGATTCTACTACCTTAGTGGTAGATATTTGTAAAATTAATTAAAGTCCAAGCAGACAGTTTCTGTGAGTACAGACAGTTCTACTGATTTGCAGATAGGACAATAACCACCAAGAAAACAAAATTAATTTCTTTTTAATTAGAATGTAAGTTCTTTGAAGACAAAATCAATATGTAAGATTGCCTTAATGTAAAGAAAGGAAAATATAAAAAGGCTGCAGTGCCATTTTGAGCTGAAACACAAAGCCAATGCAGTGTAGTACAGAATCTAGAAGCTAGAATACTCTTTTCTTGACAGTCAGAATATTAGTAAATTTCTCAGAGCCACAACAACTATGTTCTGAGGGAAGGAATAGTTTTTAACGCACACAGACACGAGTCAGGGACACACAAATTACGGTGGTAGAGAGCAGTGTTTTTAGGGTGGAATTATGGATAACAGAAGCCTAATTTCAGATTGGATATTTTGTGACATTCTTATTGAATTTATCACTGTTCAAACAACATATGCAGTTCTATCTTACAGACCAAATAATAGATGAGTTCAAGAAACAGCTCCAAAATTCTTGCTTGCCATTGGACAGTAGGAGCATCCAGAATTAAACTTTTGTTCTTTTCAAAAATGATCAGAAAGAGCCAGAAAAGATTCAAAAGGAGGTTCTTGAAGGCCAGCTCAAGGTAAGAATTAACTTCAGGATTAATAGACTCCAACTCATACCATGCAGACATCAACCCAAGAGTCTAATGACCATTTTATTAGAAGATGCTGCAACAAAAAGCATGAGTGTGACTTTTTTGAAGAGGAATTATTAGAGAGGCTCATTGAGTTAGCCATTGCCTCTATACTAATTAAAGCCTTTAGAAAGGATCTTTTGGAAAAGAGAAGAGACTGTACCATTGGTGCATCACTTGAGGATTGACACAAGTATGAAGCCACCATGACAGGTCAATAACAATTACATCTTTAGGTGCAGCCAATACTATCGTTATGGTCATCAAAGCATAGCAAACCAACAAAATTTGTAACAGAAGCGGTTTGTTGTACCTATTTAAAAGCTGCCCAGCTTTTCCTGATATCTGTAAAGCATGTGTCCCCAAGGAAAATTGGCTGTGCATGGGCAGGAAACCTGGATTCAAAGGCTAAGCTAGACCCCAGAACAAAACACAAGTGACCAACAAAACAGTGGAACACTGCAACAGTTGCAACAGGGAAAGAAGGCACAAACACAAATGCATCATTGAGGTTCAAAGTCAACTAAGCAAATGGCAAATTTGAGAAGACGACCAAGCTTTCCATATTATTAATCTCAAACATCACGTCAATAATACAAGGTGATCAGAAGCTTTTACAACCATCAATATCATGTGTCCAGAAAGGCAGGATAACATACACTAAAGATTAATAATATTAACACAAGAGCTAGTGACAGAATAGTATCACTATGCACCCTAAAAGACATGTATCTCAGTAAGTGGTGCTTCAAGATATAGCCCATGGGAGACCGTTTACAATGTATATAAGATAACAATTCTGTGCATTGGCTAAATCACAATACAGTGCCAATATGCAAACTCATCTTGGCTTCTTGAAATTGTCTAATTCATAGACACCTATGTTCCAGCAGTGGCAGGACTACAGCTTGCACGGATCATGGAATGGTCGCATTTCATGCAATTCCAACTACACCTCCTGTTTCAGGACAGACCTCAGTCAAATCAGTCAATTATCTGAAATACCCATGCCCAGATGGTTTTGATGCAATCAACCGTTTTGAGTATGACGTAGTAGTGCATCTTAAAGCTGATGAAACCTCATTAATCGATCAACCAAGGAGGTGCTGCATATACATTCAGGAGACCCTTCAAGCAAGATTATCTTGATAAGGTAGAATGAAGTGGTATAACTGAGTAGATCAATTACCACACAGATTGTTGTAGCTCCATCAGGTGCATTTGAAAGGAAATTGGCACTATCAAAGTAAACCTAAATCAAAAGATCTCAACCTCTCACAGAAGTGGTGCCCACACAAAATATCGACACTGGAAGAACTAAATCCAAAGTTTTCCAGAGGAAGATACCTTTTCCAAGCTAGATGTGAAGCATTTATACTGATTTCTCCATATAGCCGAAGAACTCCAAGGGCTCTTCATATTGAGGACACAATTTGGATCATACTATTTCTGACAGTTACCATCAAGCTACGAGTAAGCCAAGAGATATTCCAGCAGCACACGGCTAGGTTTATTGAAAATTTACTTGGCTAGGTTTGCACAGCTGACATTCTATTAGAAGCATGCACCTCTGTTGCAATATAATAGGTTGATATTAGTCCAGAAATCTTTGTCCCCGAGGAATATAATATTTGTACATAATGTGTTGGATGTTCATAGTGGGCAATTTGGTGATTATGCTCAACCAGCCTCTACTTGAAAATCTCAGAAAACCATGTCCAATGTTTGGTGTGATAATGCTACTGGACAACATTAACTTAATAACCCTGACTTTGCTGAGAATTGCACTGGGAATGAATTTAAGATCATCAGTTGGGCTAGCAGTGTGAGGGATTTGCATGTGCTAGAAGTAAATATATCAACACAAAAGAGCCTGTTCTATGTAGATGAGAGAATTTTTTCATACATTGCAACTTCTTCATCATGAAAAGGATCAGGGAGCTTGCCAATTCTTGCTGTATTCTGCCTGGCTGGTCCGAGTCTTTCTATACGTAACTAAAGCTCCTGTTAGAATTAAGTTAAAGTTCCTGCCGCTTCTCTGCACCAACGATGGTCCAACCAAGCAGCACTGCCTTCTCATGTTATATAAATTATAAATTATTTTCCCTTTCCAAGTTTGAGTTGTTGCATGCCAATCCTGGTGAATGCAAGACAAGAACCTTTGACCTTTGTGTTTCTTTTAACATGGTTTTTGTTGATAAGACACACCTCAACAAATTCCTACATTGCCAGGTAAGTGTCAAAGCAGTACTATAGTACAAAAAATATCCAGACATGCTGATTGTCAAAATCAGAACAGAACATGCTGGGAAATGTTCAGGAGATCTGGCAAAATCTGTCAAGGAAGAAACGGAATTAATATTTCAGGTTGATGACCTGTAAAAAGAAACCAGAAAATTGCATTGTAATAGGCTTTAAGCAAATAAAAAATAGTGAGAGTGGGAAGAATAACAAAACAGAAGGTATGTCATAAATTGGTAAAAAGAGATTAAATGTCAAAATGGTTGGTGGTGCTCAGCCAAAGGGGGCGGTAAAAGCAGTAAAGAAACAAAAGATGTGTCTAGAAGAGATATGAACATTAGAAAGCTAAACAGCTAAAGTCAGCTCGCAAAGACAACAGAATAAAAGCAAATTCTGTAAAAGAACTGAAAACAAAATGAGGACAGCGATTACAGTCTGAAATAGCTGAACACAGTGAGTCCAGAAGGCTGTAAAATGACTAACTGAAAAATGAGGTTCTGTGAGCTTCATTGGAATACTGCAGGAAGCCAAGGGCAAGAGAAGTTAGCATGAGAACAAGATGGAAAATTAAAATGACAGTGACTGAAATTTCAGAGTTGTGCTTGCAGGTTGAATAGCAGTGTTCCACAATGCAGGCATCCAGCCTAAATTTGGTCTCTCCAGCGTAGAACAGACTGCATTGTGAGCAGTGAATACAGTAGAATAAATTAAAAGAAGTACAGATAAATCACTGCCTAACTTGGAAGAAGTGTTTGGGGTCCTGGATGGTGAGAAAAGAAGGGGTGAAAAGGCAGATGCTGGATCTCCTGGGTTTGTATGGAAAGATAGTGTGGGAAGAGGAATTGTGGAGAGTTTGTGGTCCAGGAGGTAGAAAGAAGAAATGGCAGCGAGCTGGCCTTAAGTTTCTGCTGTGTAGATGTTGGTACACCAGACAACAACAGCCCCATCCTTATCAGCACATTTGATGACAATGTTAGGATTGTACCTAAGAGAACACCAGAGTGTTGCAAATTCAGTGTGTGATAGATTAGGGGGACTGGGGAGACCAGCAAATTCATGATAGTTGATGTCATTACCAAACCTTGTCATTGAAAAGGTAAGAGGGTAAGAGATCATAGGAAGTGGTCCAGAGACGAGTAAGTTTGTCTGGAAGGTCTGATGTGTGGAGGAATGGGGGAGACACCTGGCCAAAGAGGTGGGCATGGG